GCGGAACTCCCTGCTGCGCTTTAAACCAACTTGAAGGCGGGAGACTCCGCTACCTGGGGGGTCATCAGGATGGGCACCTGTCAGTAGTACTTTAGTTGTATATTCCTGTAGAATGGGAGTGGACTGGAAGGCTCTTGCTTCTAGTGTTTTGTGTTTTAAAAAATGTGTAATTAACCACTCACTGATAATGTATTGCTTCCAGCCCACCCCCTTTCCTTCTTGCTCTGCTCAAGTGTGTGGTGGCTCTTCAGCAGATGTTCTTTCCTGCCGTCACAGATACTTGGATGGACGGATTTTCATCACGGATGTGCTCCCACAGAGCCAGGCAGAGGTGGATGAGGTTGTGCTAGTTGGAGACGTCATTGATGAGATCAATGGGATTTCACTGAGGAATGCATACAGTGGGCAGGTATGGAAGGGAACCATTTGACCTGGGCGGGGGGGGGGGGGGGGGGGGGGTAGGAGCCGGGAAAGCTACGCTTCACGTGAAGATCATTGTGAGAAGGTGCAGAATAGCTGTGCACAGTTGCTATGGGAACCATGCTGAACAAAAGCTCTGGTGTTTGACCTGGAGATTACAGTGAGATTTTAAAAGACTGATGAGGGAAAGAAGAACGTGTGTTATATTTTTCTATGTGTATTATTTCAAAAAATGAAATATCCATCTCTGTAGCTAACTGCAATAATAATCTAATATTACTGTTTAGAAAATCTGCAATTTAAAGTGATAATATTAGTAGCTAATGCACATCAAAGTTTTTGTTTTAATGTCTAGAAATGTGGAAGTTAATTGAAAAGCTTGTTAACCTTTATGGGAGGCAAAGGGAGAAGTAATGCCCTCTTTGGAGGTGTGTTCTGTGCTGTAAGGTAAAGGTTTCCCCTTGACTCTGGGGGTGGTGCTCATCTCCATTTCTAAGCTGAAGAGCCAGCATTGTTCGTAGACACCTCCAAGGTCATGTGGCTTCCTGCAGAAGCGGTACCTATTGAACTATTCACATTTGCATGTTTTCGAACTGCTAGGTTGGCAGAAGCTGGGCCTAACAGCAGGAGCTCACCCGCTTTCCAGACTCAAACCGCTGACCTTTCAATCAGCAAGTTCAGCAGCTCAGAGATTTAACCTGGGGCTTGTTCTGGGCTGTAGATAGTGAGAAAATCACAGTTTAATTAAATCACCTGATTAAGATTATTTAGATAACTGTTCTATAACTGTTATATAGCTGTCAGCCCTAGCTTCTGCCAACCTAGCAGTTCGAAAACATGCAAATGTGAGTAGATCAATAGGTACCGCTCTGGCGGGAAGGTAACGGAGCTCCATGCAGTCATGCCGGCCACATGACCTTGGAGGTGTCTACGGACAACGCTGGCTCTTCGGCTTAGAAATGGAGATGAGCACCACACCCCAGAGTCAGACATGACTGGACTTAATGTCAGGGGACTACCTTTTACCTCTATAACTGAATGTGAGTGATTGGCTTGCATTTGTTTCTGATAATACATGAAAAGCAAAATCATTCTGTGAGTGTGGACTCCTATCTAGTCAAAATGACATAGTCTGACAAGCTTGGCTACGGCTGGCAGTAATACAAGCAAAGAAGCAACTTTATTAAGGAGTATCCTAAGAGGAATAGGGTGAGCCGTGTTCTTAGATATGGAATGTTGATTAAATATGTAGGAAACAGCATAAAATTACAACTCCACACTGCAAAATTCTGTTTCAGATCCTGCTTGCTTCATGCTTTCCTATAAACAATACATTATTGAAAGTGCCCAGCTTTTTAGGGATAGACTCAGGTTACCTGGAAATTTTTAAAAAGCCTTTTAAATATGAGCCTGCCTTTTTTAGCCTGCCCCTGGTCTGCTCAAATTAAATAGACTGATAACAACAGAAATAATTTATTTTTATTTATTTCGTATCAAAAGCATTGCATAAATTAGTATAAAACTGATAAAATAGAAGGTATGCAGGCGGCTAAATATCTTTTGACCAAAAACAGGCAACAGCAACAGCATTGTCTGTAGCCTCCAACAATTACTTCTCTGTACATGGGGCAGGGCACAATGGACAAGCATACAGATGCAGAGTTGTCTGTTCTGCTCCAAAGTCATGCAAGGTGTGGGATTCTTTTAGGTCATGCCATTTTGCCAGGTTGTCTTTCGATCTGCCCACTCCACTTCTGAGTCTATTCAGGGGCTTCCAGGTTGCCCATTCTTGGTTTGCCCCTGGAGGAAGATGCTCGCGGTGGGCCATCCAGCTGGGATTTCCTGGTTTAGCTGCCCAGAGGGAGACCCTTGCTGTTGCTGGAGGGACGCCAAGAGGAGTGGTAGTTCTCATAAAGCTTTTCCTTGATTTGGGTAGTGTTCAACTTTATTTCTCTCACATTTAGCAGCAACTTCCCATCGCACATCAGGGGGGGCAATGCCAGCTAGCTTGTAGAGTTTATCAACAGGTGTAGGTTTAATACATCCTGTGATTATTCTGCATGTTTCATTCAATGCTATATTCACCTGCTTTGCATGGGCAGACCTATGCCAAACAGGGCAGGCATACTCAGCAGCTGAGTAAGACAAGGCTAGGGCTGATGTTCTTATTAATTTTGGGTCAACAGAAATAATGCATTAGTGTGACTGGTAGGGGGGCAGGAGGTGCAGAAGGAGAGGGCAAAATTAGTAATCCAAAAAGTGACAGAGGGAGCAACTTAGACTTTGCTACGTTGATGAGAAGGAGTTGAGAGATAGAGGGATGTTTTTCTCTACACCTGGCATGAAATAAAAGCAATTGTTTAGGGAATAGGGAGGTGGAAAAGAAAGCAAAGAGACTGAAGAAGTAACTGCGTCTGCACTCCTGTACAAAGCATCTGTGGGCAGTGACCATGGCAGCTTCATGATCAGCTACACTGTGCCTGCATAAATGAGTGTCTGTGGTGAAGAAAGAGCCTAGGCAGGTTGTTCATTCAGCAATAGGAAATTCAGAGTTGATGGGGCAACCCCAGATCCTTTTCCTGTAATTTTAATTGACACAGTCATAATGTAACAACGTGTTCATGATGAATCATCCAGTGAGTTACCTTCTGGGTTGCAGTAACAATAACATGTTATTTACTTATTTATTTGTGTAAGTTATATCCTACCTTTCTCTTGGAATGAGAGCCTGGTAGTAATGACCTATTGGGTGATCAGAAGACATAAGGTGTAAAAGAAGAAGCATAGTACGAGGTTTGGGGTTGTTGTTTTTTTGCGTGTTAGTTGCTTCTGGTGTGAGAGAATTGGCTGTCTGCAAGGACGTTGCCCAGGGGACACCTGGATGTTTTACCATCCTGTGGGAGGCTTCTCTCATGTCCCCACATGAGAAGCTGGAGCTGGCAGATGGGAGCTCACCCCTCTCCCTGGATTCAAACCGTTGACCTTTCAGTCTGCAGTCCTGCTGGAACAAGGGTTTAACCCGAGGGCTCCTATAGTATGAGGTGCAGGGCTGGAACCCACAGTTTCACCTACCTACACCTGACAAAATATATCGTCTCTAGGAATTTTCTGGGTTCTCCTGGTGAATCTATGATATGCTCATGGCCAAAGTTACTATAGAATTGTGTCAAAGAATCTAGTCTTCTGGGCTGACTCTATGGTAACTTTCTGCAGAAGTCATTCCATTCAGTAAGGTTTACTAATACCATATTTAGTCGCATGATAATCACACTTTTTATCCCTTTTTTAATCAAAAAAGGGGCTGCGACTATTATGTGATGAAAACGTCTGCCTTTTATTCTCCAGTTTCTACCTTACTACCAAGAGAGAAGGAGGTGAGGTGATCCAGCCTCAAATAGCTCCATTTCTGTTTGCTTGTTTTTAAAACTGCCTTGCTCGGAGGAAGGAGAAAAGATTCACTCTTTCTTTCTTCTTTCTCCTAACGCACCGCAGTTCACAAAATCTGGAATGGGGCTCTTTGGAGGAAGGCAGAAAGATCCCAATTCCAGAGATCTCAATTTCAGGTTTATTTAAACTGCCTTGCCTTGGAGGAAGGAGGGAAGAGTGGAGCTCCAGAGACCTTCTGAGAAAGAGGAAAGGAAGGGGAATCAGCCCCAAATGGCTCTGTAACTATTATGTGGGGAACACAAAAATACCAATTCTGCCACTCAAAAAATTGGGTGCAACACACAGTGAAAACTATTATTGGTTTGCTATTATCCATGATTTGCTGAGTCCACAGTAATAACTTAATAATAATAATAATAATAATAATAATAATAATAATAATAACAACTTTATTTTTCCAACTTGCCACCATCTCCCCGAAGGGGCTTGAGGCGACTTACAGAAAGCACAAAGTGCCTAGAAACAAACATAAAAGTCAACACAATATAAAATACAATAAAATAAAACACATGCACATATAAAAACAGTTCAGGAAAGTATCTCCCATTGATATTGGGGTCATATTGTAATTACCTTTTGAGTACTCAGGGTCATAAGTAATGTAAATAGTTCTTTTTGAAAGTAATATTCTAAGCATTAGGTCTGGGAAGTGACCACAGTGAGGGAATGCTGAGTGATAACATACGATCCTTCGTATTGGTGACTGTATCTTCTTTAACTTTAGGCGGGGACAGTGCTACAGAAATTGAAAGGCAAACCACTAAGCTTCTGCCTCATCCGGTGGAAATGGCACGATGGAAGAACGTACAAGCCACTCTTGCCTTACCTGAAAATTCTCCAGGAGAAAATCCCCAGCTTCCAGCTCCAGCATGAGCATATACACAAGGAAGAGAAAGAGACCCGGAGCGTACAGGGGGGCAGGTAGGGGGGCTGGCAGAGCCAACAAAGCAGCTGCAGGTCTCCATGTTTGGCAAACCGTAGCAATAAAGATCACAGACATGCATTAATTGTGAACACGGACTGTAATTGAAATAAGAACATTACGGTTTTTCTGCTGTTTTCTTTAAACTTCCTAGAGCTACAAACTGGGCAACAGCAACCACATTGTCTGTAGCTTTATACAGTTCTTCCTCTGTGCATGAGGCAGGGCACTGTGGACAAGCATACAGGTATGGAGTTGTTTGTTCTGCTCCACTGTCACACAAGGTGAAGGATTCTTCTAGGTAGTGCCATTTTGCCAGGTTGTCTTTTGATCTGCCCACCCCACTTCTGAGTCTATTCAGGGACTTCCAAGAAGGCAGGTATGTAAGTGAAGGTTCTGTGGTGAGAAGCATCTCCAAAGTCAAGAGAGCCAAGGAAGTCTACATTATGTGCATACTTACAACCTCCTGTTCTGGCAAAAAAGTGTCTGCTGTGACCTGAGTCAACATTTAGTTAGCTACAACACCCCTTTGAGGCCCCAGGGATGATGGGAACTACAGGTTGACAACATTTAGAGAACTCCAACTTCCATGTGAATATGCAGGCAGTAGTCCCAGTTGTCACACCCTATCTGTGTTGTGTATTTAGAAATCTGTGCCAGTCACATAACAACTAACTAATATATAAAGGCCAGATTTGTCAACATAACTGTTCAGAATCATCTCGCAAAATTCTTCTTGGAAGTCAAAGTACTTTGGTGCATAGCTTGAACTGTCCTCAAAGGCTGCACTTGATTCATAAATGAAAAACCTATTTGTAAACTTATTGGGCTAATAGTCTTGACCATTTTCTTCTCAGGCTTCTGTACAACCTGCGGTACCTAGGCCAGGTCAATGTAGGAAAGGTGAGACTGTGAGCCTGGATGGAGAACTGCTTGGTTTTTCATTTTCATGTTATTGCTTCATTTTTGTTACAGCTTTCTGATTCTGTTTTCAGTTTGGAAGCAAAGAGGTGTTAGACGGTGGCATTCGTAAGGTTTTAAAGGAATGTGTACCACCACAGGTGAGTTACTGATTATGAATACATTGAATACAATGGTTAAAATGTTCTGTGGAAAGACGGTGCTCTATTGTTATTATTTACTGTCAAATTGGCCTTGACTTATAGTAATCATATAAAAAATAGACCTCCAAAAGACCCCGTTATTAATGGCACTTCTTAGTTTCTGAAATTCAGGGGCATTTTTGCTTCATCAATCAATTGAGCTATAATACAGCTGTCTTCTTTACCCATCACCTTCAACTTTACTGAGCATTATCCTCTTTTCCACTGAACCATGTTGTCTTATGATATGTCCAAAGTATAGGGTCTTCAGTTTAGTCACAGGAAATATTTAGTGGTTAGTAAATCCTGGTGGCACAGTGGGTTAAACCACTGAACTGCTGAACTTGCTGACCGAAAAGTTTGCAGTTCAAATCCGGGGAGCAGGGTGAGCTCTGCCAACCTAGCAGTTCGAAAACATGCAAATGTGAGCAGATTAATTGGTTCCTCTCTGGTGGGAAGGTAACAGCGCTCCATGGGGTTATTAATGCAGTCATGCTGGCCACATAACCTAGGAGGCGTCTACAGACAACGTCAGCTCTTCGGTTTAGAAATGCAAATGAGTACCACCCCCCAGAGTCAGACATGGCTAGACTTAATGTCAAGGGGAAACCTTTTACTTTTAAATCCAGTGCCAAGAGTAATGCACAAAATATAAACTGGTTTTACTAGGAAGGTAGCATTCTCTCTCCCCTCAGGATATTGTATTTTAAAATCCTTCAGCCTTTCTACTGGATAGAAAGAAAACACATTCATAATGCTCCGATTAATATGTGCAGAAGCCATGAAGCAGTTAATACTGTGTGTTAATTTCTGTAAGAGATTATACCTATGTTGAAGCCTCTAGGGACAAATTCATTGATGGTTCTCACATTCTTATAAAACATATACCATATCATATATGAGGACTTGATAGGAGCATCCCATAATAGTACAGTGTCTGTGGCAGTTTGTGTGATATATATTTTGTATTTATGTATTTTATTTTTATCTTTCCTTTCTCCTGATTTAAAGGCTCAAGGCACTATACAATAAATATAAAACAATGCTAATTATAAAGAGTGTGAATATATTAAAATGCACATATGAAAATTAAAAAACAGTTAAACAGTTTATGCTTTTAAACTATTAAACATTACAAATATTAAAATATGTGATGCGTTTGTGTTCATGGAAACTAAGACTGGATCTAACCCACAATGAAATGCTAGAGTTCCTGACCTGTGTCCCAGCAATGCAAGAGGAAGGTATTGCTGCTTCTGATTTTATCAGCAAAAGCCACCATGTTTGGAGCAGCAGTGCAGAAGAACTGGTATAACACAGCATGAATTAGATGGAAATTTTACAACTGTATGACCATCTTGAAGGGTGTTCTTCTACTGGTCATCAATCCCCTTAATGGAGCCATGGGGATGTAATGGGTTAAACCCTTGTGCCAGCTGAACTGCTGTCCTGGAGGTTGGCAGTTCGAATCCGTGAGGTGGGGTGAGCTCCCGTCTGTCAGCTCCAGCTTCCCATGCGGAGACATGAGAGAAACCTCCCACAGGATAACACATCCAGGCGTCCTTGCAGACAGCCAATTCTCTCACACCAGAAGCAACTTGCAGTTTCACTTCTAACATAAAAAGTCCCCTCATTATGCAGATGTAATTTGTGTAGACAATGGCTGATGACAGACACATTAATCACTTCCCTCAGATCCTATTGAAGTTACCTCAGTAAAAGCAACTCTGGTTACTGCTGTAGCTAGATGTATCTTGAGGCTGTGTGTGTCAAATCAACAAAATCAAAATATTTTTCTTCGGCTTTCTAAAAACATGACAGCAATGTTGCCTTTGCAGATACATGTATTGTCCTTTGCTCTTGACCCCCTTATCCACTGCTACCGGTCATAGCCTGCTGTTGTGTTCCCTACTGCAGAAGGAAACAATTCCCTTCCCATTTTGAGCACTCTGGTGAACTATTGTTTCCCTCCAGGTCTCATAAATAGCTGCACGCTCAAATGTAGCTGGGATGTCATGCCTTATCTCATTTCCTTTGTGAGAAAGGAATCCGGGTGAAGGACAATGCTGTTCATTGATTGTCAGATGGAAACCTGAAGTGGTAGTTGCTGATGTTGTGTGCCTTCTGGTCATTTCTGACTCATGGTGACTATAGGGTGAACCTATTAAGAGGTTTTCTGGGGCCGAGAGTATGAGACGTATCCAAGGTCACCCAGCGTTTCCATGGCCGAGTGGGGAAACAAACCCTGGCCTCCAGAATAGTGGTCCAGTGCTCCAACCACTACACTCGTGCTGGCAAAGTGTAGGCTGGTCACAGTTTTTCAGTAGCAAACTCAACTGTTACATACATTATAATTTGAGACCATACATCTGTTACTAGTTGCATTAGTACAAATCTAGGTCAACATATATGCGTATTCTTGAGGGAACAATCTGCCCAAAGTATTCATTATCAATTTTGTAGAGTGCCCTGTTTGTCAAGCAGTTTCATCAGGGCTATATTTTAATCTGTACTCACATCAATAGGAAGCATAATGCTCGAAGGAAAATCCCTGAGAGGACAGCAAGTCTAGCCTTCTGTTAACCGTCATTGGCACTTTGCCACTTTGCACGGTACTTCACTAGTCTCCTTTAACATTTCAATGTATTTTTCCTAGATGGTATTATTTGATGTCAAAGAAACAGAAGTCCTTATTCAAGAGGAAGCTTCTTCCAAGGTTAGTGTATCTTTGTATGTTAATGGTGCTTTTTGGCAGGCTTTTTCATGCCTTCTAGAAATATTTAAATAATGTCATTTCCAGTATTTAGTTTATATAGGGTAGGTAGAAGGTAACATAAATGTGAATAACCTGTTTAAAATTGTTGTGTTGATATTAGACTGAGCTATTTATAAACTTTAAACCATATTCTAGTATTTGCATATAGAGGAGGCAGTAAATAGTACAATTTCAAATACAGTAGATTCTCAGCCAGAACTCAAGTAACCAAAACAGGCAAACTGGCAAAAAAAACCCAAAAAACCAAATAGTACTTTAAATAATTTTAGAATAGAGTAGAATCATTTTTATAATATAGTATTACATTAAGTCAAGCTTGTATTTGTTTGCTTTCAGTTGCTATATTCCAATATTAATTCCGTCAGTATAGTGTATTGTATGGCATAGTATTTAGTTATTAGTTATGCTTTTAAAAATCATAAATCCCAATCATCTACTAATCCCTATGGGTGCCAGTTAACTGAGAATCTACTCTAATGAGCCCAAGGCTTTGTGCCTTTTCAAATCCTTGTTCTTGCCACTATCAGGTTTTGTTCCAGTATCCTTATACAGACATTTCCTGCGTGGGACGGCGCCTGGACAATAACAATCTATTTGCCTTCTGCACCGTGTAAGTTTAATATGTACATGTATTCTATTATGCATGTCCCCATAATTTATTTAACATGAAGCAAGTGATTTCTTTTGCTGCAACTCAGTGCTAGCTCAATCATCTTAAAAACTCTGTATGTTCTTAAAAGCATACTCTTCCATTGGTGCTTCTAAATTGACCAGGAAGCCCTCCTTACTATTTCAGGGGATACTTTATTGCAGTTCTTCTCAGGCAATCTCTTGGGGGACTAAAGTTGGTGCCAATGAGCATTTGGATTGGCAGCTGCCATATAGTCCAGAATTGGTCCATTTGGATGGCACCACACTGTGCTAACTCTTTACCTGAGAAAACAGCCACACTAACGTAAATGTATTGGCTATGTTGTGATTTCATCTGTACTTCTTCCTTTCTGAAGGACGTCACCAGAATCTTCGGAGCACAGCAGCTTTGACTGTCTTGTGTTTGAATCAGATTCTGAAGAAGAATGTCAGGAAATCATCAAAAGAATTGGTGAGGATATATGCACTTTGCAGTATAACTTTTGGTAAATAGCAGTAACGCCATTATATCAGTTAAGCAGATTTGTGTTTTGTCTGTTGCTGGAATAGCCACTGCTGGCAGAACACCCCCCCCCCCCCCCCCCCCCCCCCCCCGGTACCCTATGACAGTGAAGAATTACAGGAAAAAGCTGAAATCACGTTGCATGAAAACTGCCACTCGGACAAGGTTTTCCATTATTTGGGTTTATATTTCGGAATGCTAAAGGTTTGACCACTTAGTATGAAGAAATTAGACATACTAACATGACCATCTAGGTCAGTGGTTCTCAACCTGTGGGTCCCCAGGTGTTTTGGCCTACAACTCCCAGAAATCCCAGCCAAATTACCAGCAGTTAGGATTTCTGGGAGTTGAAGGCCAAAACATCTGGGGACCCACAGGTTGAGAACCACTGATCTAGGTAATGATTTCATAATGTAGTTTTAGCGTATATCGTAAAGCTTAAAAGGTTTTCACTGTTGGTTCCATTTGATATCCTTCAAATAAATCTTTTTAAGATTCAAGGCAAATCTTTTAGTCATTGTTCTCAGCATGTAATATCCAAAAGATAATTACTCCTTAGCTGGAGAAGTAAATCTTGCCAAACTGAAGTTCTGCACAGTTGTAGCAATATATTTGTTTCCTTAGCTGCTGGATTTAAACGCACAGAATGGTTTGTCTGAAAAGGGACGTGCTGATCTAATGCTGGGTTTCTGCCAATAACTTCCTTCTGGAATTCCACTGGCCAGCAAGGATCCCCCCTTCCAGTCAGCGACATCTTGGCAAGTCAGATCTTGGATTAAAGCAATACTGGGAATGGATTAGAATTTTGCACTGAACATACTATTTTGGATGCATTTTCTACTGGACTCATGTTTACTTCTGCTTTCTCAGATTTGCACTGACACTTTCAAAATTTAGAATAAAATTAAGCGCAAGCCATAGATTTTCATACTGTTTGTATTAACCAAAATGTCTACATTGAAAATGATACAAGAGTAAAGCCATTAAATAATCTGCTGCATAGCAAAACAATTCTATTTCTCAATATATACTGTGACTCAACTTTCTATTCATACTGGCCTAAATCATTGTTGGCTCCAGCTATAATAGCCCCAGAGAACCAGTGGA